AAGTATCTTCAGCATGGGTAAGTCTGATTAAAATAACACACAGTTCCAAGCTGATTCTAGTTTTATTAGAATACCACATAATGTAAAATTCACAATTTACGACACTTAAGGGTCAAAATCTTGCTCTATTCCAAAACCTCTATGATGTGAAGAAAAACCCAACAGGTTGTTCTAACCCAACATCTTCAGAATGTTACTTTGAAAACATTAGCAAAGTAGAATTTAATTTAAAGCATTTAAGAGCTGAGACATGCAATGTGAAAAGCTGAATTACAGAAGAAACATTGCAACCCAATATTCATACTACAAATCTACCTTTCCGCAACAATTAGTATTTCCAGGTCAGTTTTTTCCACCAAAAAGATGTTGTAGTGGTGAAAAGATGCTGGGGAAACAATAACAACAAAAAGAGCATATTAGACTTCTCTGAAAATCATGAAAAAGCTAATTTCTGTCCAACAGAAAGACACAATGCCAGTACAAAATAATACAAAGGGAAACTGAAAAAACAGAGGAAACAATAACTTGTGCACTAATGGTCTGGTCTCAGTCATTAAAGGAATGGCACACATTACAATTAACAAGGAGTTTTATTTTTTAAAACACTAACAAAAACCAGCAGCTGCCAATATCCAGCTGGTGCTGTGCAGTGATGGACAGCACTCACAGGATCCAGCCTCAGCAGCATGAAATAACTCCTTTAGGCAAACAGCAGGTGTCTGCACAGTGACACTGATTTCCATTTGAAATGGTGACTTTGGGAGTCAGAGTTACAAAGTCCAGATTTGCTCAGTGGCCAAATAAAGGTCACATGAAGCTTAATGGGGCTGAAGGTCCATCTGGGAAGACCCTTTTAGCTGGCACTTCTCAGCTGAGGAAAGCCACTTTGTATAAGGGCTGAGATGGAGATTCAGTGACTCTCTTATCAGGAGTTTTTCCTAAAGACAGTTCAGAAGAGGAACATTTAGTGGGAATGCTGCCCCTTAGCACAAGATAAAACAACATCCCTTTCTTTGCCTTGGGGGACTTTGGTTCCATCACAGAAAAGATGTCTCCATTCTTCAAAATGATGGAAAACAACCTGGCACTGCCAACCTTTGACATAGGCTTGGACAGCGCCAGGATTGCCTCTGCCCATCAGTGCAGGATTAGTACCTTCTCCAGAACTGTGAAAGACCTCTTCCCTCTGACTTTGTGCTTCCTTTCTTTCCTGTTTGCTCCATTTGCTGCAGCAGCTGCACTGCACCCTCAGCCTGACTGGCTACTCTTTTTTGTTCAGGGGCAAATTCCACAGGTTCCCCTGTAAGAAACAGCAGCAAGAACAAAACCACAACCTCACGCTCTACACACTTCCTGTGCACCCAGGGGAATGAAAACTCAGTGGAATCCAGGAATTCCTTACTCACAGCAACTCAGTTGGTCACAGTCTTTAGTAAGGGATGCTGGGTTAAACTCAAGCTCATTTACTTTGGAGGAATTCTAAAAGGAAAAGAAACCCAAGAACTGTTACATAATACTAAATTCTATTGTACAGAAATTTTTGTTGGTTTGCTTCCTGAAAGTATTAAAAAGCAAGCTCTACACTCCTTGTTGTGTGGTTTCATTTGGGGATTTTTTTCTGCTATGATGAGGACTTTCTTCACTAAGGTATTTTTACACCTCCCTCATCAGGACATAACAAGATGTAATTCATTTAGAAGACTTTAGCATAGCAGACAGTGAACTAATAGTAGCTATGGAATAAGCAGAGATTTCAAAAAACATGAAGAGCTGTGGGAAATGCCAGTCCCTGGACAGTGCAGGCCCTTGGGCACTAGCCCTCCTAAGACATAGTCCTGGGATATAGACTTAACTCACAAGGGACAAAAATGAAAAGTGCCAGAATCAAGAGGTGGGCCAGGGATACCCATTAGGAAGGTGATCAACAACACAAAGTACTACAAAAAAACAAAAGAAACATATAAAACCACAACAAAATCAGCAGGTAAGCTTCTAAAAGAGAGTAAACCCTAAAACAATGACAGGTCCTGATGGTGTTTCCCTTGCACTAATCTCAGANCTTGTCCCTGAGCCTGCCCCTAACTCCAGGCACTCCTGAACAAAGATTCTCTTACACCTTAGCTTGGACATAACTTTCAGGAATGGCTCTGGGTTCCACATGGGAACACCACAAGCACACGGGAATCCTCAGGACCACGGAAGAGCTCAGCAGAAGATCTGCAACACCAAAAGTGCAGGAAAGGCAGGCCCTTAACTTCTGCTGGAGGTGCTCATGTCCTTGTTTAGATCCCACCTTAATTGTACAGCAAACTGTATAGATTGTGCTGAGCTTAATCCAAAAAAGCCCCGCATGCACCATTTACTTTAAGAGCTGGATATCATTAAAAGCCCTGTAGAAGCAGGAGCTGTAAGATACTCCCTCATATCCTTAAGGAATAAGGATATGAGGAATCCTCATATACCTTAAGGAATGCCTAAATAACAAATATTTTAAAACAACAAAACAGCAAAAGCATGGAAGGGAAGTCTGATCCAGGTCCCCATGTTGTCATGGTGACTTCTCAGTCATTTATGTACTTCAGACACATTTAGAAAAAAAGCTACATTTTCACCCCTCCCCACCAAATAATGTAAGAAAGGGGAAAAAAATCCTGCCAGCTTGTCCCAAGCCAATCAAATGGCAACTGAATCCTTTGATCAGGCAGCACCCCTGAAATATTTTAACCAATACTTTTCCTGCACTGTGCATCAGGTACTCAGACAGGATGGAAACAGACATCAGCAGAAAATTCAAATTAATAATTCATCCAAACCCTTTACCATACAAGATTCTGACCATACTTGGACCCAACAGGTTTCCGCTTCCAGATTATTTAAAAAATAATTACTTACAACATCATTTCATTCATCCCCCATTTGCAGGCACTGTTTGCAAGCAATTGGTTTTTTCTTTTACCAAGTACTATGCGTTCCACATGCTGCTGTTATCATACAGAGCAATCAAACAGCCTTAGCCAGCTCAGAAAGAATAAAATCCTCTCAACATTTACACGCAAATGCCGCATAAATACGGATTTTCAAAAAACAAAACCAATACAGCTCATTATGGAGCTGCATGGAAAGAGCAAATGTTTTACTACCAGCACTAAATTGCTCACACTCAGCAACACCGCCAAACCCCCCCACACTTCCACAGCAGGAAAAGGCTAATGCACACCACAGTGGAAGAGCAGGCACCCAGTAAGACACCATTTTCTACATGATACCTGAAAAAGCATTCCAGACTCCACAAGCAAGCGCTGTTTGAACAGATCACAGCATGCACGCTTACCGGCAGCTCGCCAGCCCAGCCTGGCCAGCCATCTGCCCCTCGCCCACCACCTCCCAGCACTGAGGAAAACAAGGCATTCGCTTCACACACACCATCCTGATGACCCCCACCCTCCCCGTTAATCAATTAATGAAGCAAGACTGGTTTTTCCTTACTAAGCAATGTACGGACACTAGGTCACTTGAAGGTTGCCCGTTCCTTCCTGCTGCAGGGCCTCCCAAATAAAAATTGCCCAGCCAAATTCAGGCTTCTTCTTTTTTTTTTTATATATATTCATTCAAAGCTGTAGGAATACACTCAGCCCTTGACAATGCCGGCTTGCATGATGAAAGAGCAAAAGTAGTTTTGAGGCTGCAGAATGCCTTCTCCGGGTTACCATGGAAATAAATGTGGGAAGGGGAGGGGGCTTCGCTGATGGCAATTCCTGCTACTTAGTGGAGATGTTCTGAAGCCAGACTGCGTGGGAGTGTAGTCCAGGAGAAGAAAATGTGTTTTACTATTACTACTATAATTTTACCTGCACTTCCTTTCATTTGTACCATATTTCACACAGTTGAAAAGCATGAAACTTCCCTGAAATGCTGAGAGGATGCTACTTGAAATAAGTACAGGATCCCTCCAATGAGGAGCTGAAGAAACTTCATTTACATATTGGAATTTATGCAGGAATTAATGACAAATTAATGTTCAGCTGCAATTAAAACTTGATTGACAAAGATGAACCTGTTGCAGCACTGAGGCTGTAGCAAGGAGGACCAGTTTCAGGAAGGCTTGGTAAGGAGCATCACCTTGTCATTAAATCACAGGGTAACCTTTCTCTTACAAACAATTCTCACACATAGTATGAAGCAGATCACCTCAAGGATCTTGTCCCTTGCAGAACTGAAAAAAGATCATCAACAAAAGCCCTGTGACACACTGCTCCACAGTGCTCCTCTGTGAGATCCTGACCCACACCACTGCCACCCTCCCCCTCCTTGGGTCTTGTCAGGATCCCCATGGAAAGTCAACAAAAATAATCCATGGGAGGTGGAAGCCTGGCACCAAAATCCCAGTGAGAACAGCCAATACAATTTCATCAAAATGATTATATTTTATACAAATTCAATTAGTATTTTTAGGATATTATTAGTAGTATTTTTTTGATATTAAGAATAAAATCTTCCATTGAAACAGAACGGTTAAACATTGGAACAGGCTAACCAGAGCAGTGGTGGAATCACTGCCCCTGGAAGAGTTCAAAAAATGAGTAAACATGGTGTTTGGTGACACGGTTTAGTGGCTATCATAAGATTCAGAGGTTGGACTTGATGATCTTGTAGGTCTTCTTCAACCTCAGAAAGAGGTAAGAGCTGCTCACTATAGTGACATTAACACAATGCTCCAACCAAAGTGCAATACTCACTGTGCAATATTTGCCACAGAACAAAGCAACTTCTAGTCACCAGTTCACCACTGACTATTACCAATGTAATTTAATTTTGCACATCAAAAAATTCTCCAAACACTGTCTCTGAACACACAGAAAAAGTTTTTTAACAGTAGTTTATAAATAGAGAGCTCTACCTTGGCAC